AGCTTTTGCCGGTCTCGAGATGAAAAATCGGTACAGACGCGCAGCGCACACACACACACACACACAAACACACACACAGACACACACACACAGACACACACAGACAACCTCTCGTCAATATGCGTTTTTCGCATTGCATTGCTGCAAAAAACGCATAATAATAATTACTATTATTATAGTTAATAATGATGACAATATCAATATGATCCATGGTGAATACTGGAAATGGGGACGTTTGTTCATTCTCTACCTATTATGCGTTTTTTGCATCTATGCAACGCAGAAAACACATGTTGACGAGGGGTTGTCTGTGTGTCTGTTTGTGCGTCTGTACCGATTTTTTATCTCAAGATCTATAAAAGCTACAGGGCTAAGACTTTGGGAACTTAATCTACATGTACGTACGGGTCCCAATCCCCAAAACGGGCGCCTTTACCCGCGTGGTATCTACGTACGGGCCCATCGAAGTTTTTTACGGGCAAACCGCTAACTCGAAAACCAGAGAAGCTGGAAAGTTGAAATTTAAAGGCGTTCCCCATCCACGCAGGATCAATGAGCTCAAAACCAGCTCCCGAGTATGCGTGGTACCCACTTACGGGCCCGTGAAATTTTTTTTTCGAGTAAGTTGCTAACTCGAGAACCTGAAAAGCTAGAAGACTGGAATTTTGAAAAAATGTTCCTCGTCCAAGTAGGTATTAATGAGGTCAAACCCATCTGCCGGGTATGCACGGTACGCATGTACGGGTCCGTAAAATTTTTTCGGATATGATAATTCGGGAACCTGAGGAGCTAGAAGAATTAAATTTTGAAGGGATGTTCCCCGCCCAAATAAATATTAATGACCTCAAACTTAGCCCCCCAGTATGAATGATTCCCACGTATGGCCCTATGAAAATTTTTTCGAGTAAATTGTTAACTGGAGAAACTGAAAAGCCAGAAGAATGGAATTTTGAAAGGATGTTTCCTGACAGTCTTGGCGACCAGTCTGAAATTCTTTTAGCTAGAAGCATTTTCCGGAAAAAACAGTGCCGTTAGCGACAAAAATTTGCTGGGAACTATGCAAAAAACGCATCTTCGCAAGAGCAGCCCGTGCGTTGGTCAATTATTTTATTGTAAAACAAAAAGCGCCATTTTTGTTGTTTTTTTTAATTAGTGATAAAAAGAAATGGCAACAATTGAATCACCGACACCGAGCACCAATAAAACGTTGGAATGCTGCGATGAGCAATGGCCAAACAATAAGGATGAATATGATTTGGAAGAACTTATCGGACTTGGCTCCGCCGCTGTTGTTTACAAGGCTTGTTTTATGTTTTGCACATAATACTCTGGAATGGCCGCATAATTCAGTTTTTCAATTTGTTAGATTTTTTGACTCTTCGAACTGTAGGAATTGCAACTAGCGAGCATTTTTGAGGCTAGGACAATCAGGATCAAGGAGAGGTTGCGCGATTCTCATGAAATCATTAATGCTTTGGTAAATGTGACTGCAGTAAGCCCACCTTAAAAAAGCAGTAGTTGCTGGTACGATCTTGCGTTTTTGCGACCAGTTAAAACATTTGGCTGTTCGATGAATGACGATTTTACTTAAGAATTTTTTTTTTTATTAACAAAAGTAGAATTTTACGACTCGAAATACCAAAATTTTTGGCTGCTGTTGCATAGACATGACGAAGAGATATGATGAAAAAAATTTGATTTTTTATGCGTTTTGTGCTGTGTAACAGCAGTACAAAACGCATATTGTTACGGGGTTGTCT